TGTATAGGGCTTACCCGCCTCGTCGTATGCTTCGCACCGGGCTCCCTCCTACCGTGCTACAAGAGCGCGTATAGGTGGTTCCCCGGTCCGCTACAACGTCGAGGGCGGGGTTTAAGTTAGAAATTTTACCTTGAAGACCCGGCGGGGAGTCGTTGGCGACTGTCGGCTAGAGGCAAGATATGAAGCAATCATACAATTCATTATTATTCTTTATTATAATTTATATTAATTCTAATAATAATAATTAGATAATTATTATTGATAATTAATTATTAATTAATAATTAATTATAATTAATAAATCAATTATAATTATAATTAATCAACGACTAATTATAATTAATAATTAATAATTACTAATTAATTATAATTAGATAATTAATTATTATAATAATTAAATAACTATTAAATATAATTAATAATAATTATAATAAACATAATAATGGATTAAAATATGATTAGGGATTTTAGGCTTAAATCCCGTATTTTCTAAATCCCTAAGTTCAGTGGATTTTCGGGATTTGGCTGAAGAAGTACGTGAAAGGAGGAAAGTTACCTTCACTTCCAGCAGGCTCCCGTTGATGCTTCCGATCAAAATGCCAAACTTCCGATCCGACAGACAGGGCAAGCCGTTGGAGGAGTCGAAGAAGCGTGCGAATGGGAGGAAGTTAATTTCACAGCCGAGCGAGCTCCTGTTCTCACTTCCGATTAAAATGTCGTACCTTCCGGTCCGACTGGAAGGGAAAGTCGGCGAAGGAGCACGGTCGAACAGCCAGAGGGAGTCGAAGAAGCACGCGGTAGGGAGAAAGTTACCGTCCCAGCAAGCGAGCTCCAGTTGGTTGCTTCCGATCAAAGTATCGGAACTTCCGATCCGGTTGGAAAGGGGAAGTCGATCGAAGGAGCGTGGTCGAACGGCGTCGGAGGGGGCTCTGCCGGCTCCGGTCGTGGAAACAGAGGGAGGATCGGAAGGATAGGGAGCGTTCGCGTGGAGAAGAGGTAGCAGCCGCGAATGAGAGCCTTTGCGCTCATTTTAACGACGCGAGCGAGATCGTGGGGTGAAGTGACTTCGACGTGCGAAATGCGGCGACGACGTGCGACTGCGTGGGATGACAGGTACGTTGATTTTAATTTTTTTTGTTTTCTCTCTTTTGTTTTATACGGCGGGTTAACAGGGATCACCTTCACTTCCAGCAAGCTCTTGTTGTCGCTTCCCTCAAAATGTTGCAGCTTCTGATCCGAGAGGAAGGAAGTCGTCCAAGGGAGCAAAGTCGAAACAGCCACAAGGAGCTGGAGAAGGGCCTGAACGGGAGAAAGTTAACTCCACAGCCCGCGAGCTCCTGTCCTTGCTTGCGATCGGACAGGAAGGGAAAGTTGTCGAATGAGCAAAGTCGATCGACCACGACGGGACCGAAGCAGCGATCGGAGGTAGGGTTTGGTTTCTTCCTCTCTCCCTTTCTCTTTCTCTATTTCTCTCTTGGCGGAACCGGGAGGCCAGCGGCGGGGTTGAACCGGAAGTGGCAGAGGATGCGGGAGTTTGGTCAGGCAAAGGGCGGCTGCAGATTGAGATCGGAAGGGAGATGGTGGAAATGCCGTGACTTTCGATCCTTCACAGCAAGCGATCTCCTGTTGTTGCCTCCGATTAAAAATGTTGTAACTTCCGAAACAACAGGGAGGGGAAGTCGTCGTTGGAGCCAAGCCGAACAGCCACGAAGGGATCGGAGAAGGGCTCAGGTAGGTCTCTCTCTCTCTCTCTCTCTCTCTCTCTCTCTCTCTCTCTCTCTCTCGGCTTCTCTCTGCCGGAGGTTGGACGGACACGACAAGGGCAGAGGAGATCGGGTGGTGTTCGTATGAGAGGAGGGAGCTGGTCGTTGCTCTCGACTTGTGGGATCGGAGAAGGGCAGCAGCGACGGGAGCTCGTGGGTAGCGAACGGGAGAAGAGTTGTGCCCTGTGAGAGCCCAATCGGTTGGCTTTTATAGAAGCTGGAGAGGGGCGATCGAGGCTGTCATCGCGAGATTCACGGGAAGAGACGGGAGCGACGCCGATTCAGCAGGATTTGCGGGAAGAGATCGATTCGGCGCCGTTTGCAGAGCTAGGTATTGTAGCAGGCCGCGATTTCTGCAAGATTCCTGGATCCCATGGACGTGAGGTATGTATGCTGGATTTTGAGCTTTATTCCCTCTTTTGATCTCTTGGGTATAACATGAAGGTCAACATATCAACTCGCCTAATGGGTGTTTTTTTATCCTTCATTGTATATGTCCAATTCACTTATCTTTTTTAAGTTACCTTATCTTCCATAGATGTCCCTCCAATATTATCTCTAATTTGATCTCTAAATTTTTTTCATATTTTATTCTTCTTTTTTGTGTCTTATGTAAATTCAGTCATGTATTGTAGTTATGCTTCCTTGTGACAGCTAGAAATTAAATATCCTTTAATTTCTAGCCATTTTAAACACTTGCGCTCTCGTTTGTTCATATATTTTTTATTAATTTGCTTTTCTGTCATTATTGCATACCTTAGATTTTATTGGAATGAATGGTTTTCTTGTTGTGATCCAGGCTGCAAAATGGCTTTAGAACTTTTGGATGAATATAACTGAAATTTTGTACATGAGCTATTGTGATGCCGTGATCAGTATTCTGGTAGTGAGTGTTCCACTTTCTAGTTCGAAAAATATTCTCGTTCATTTAGTGGAAATCTAAAGTAGCGTGTATTCTGTTGGTGGAGAATCAAGGTAACCATGATCCTGCTGAGTTTGATTTAGTGCCATTTAATTGCCTTGAACTTGCTCGAATGACTTGCAAGTCTTTGGATGACTATACTTAGCAGTTGGTAATTATCCTACCTTAAAACAGACTTTTCTAGAGTTCAGAAGCAGTTTCTACCTGTTTACTGAAAGAATATGGAAGGTTGATTTATGCAGTGTTAACTAGTGGTTCTCTCTCTTGTTAAAGCCTGTGTTAGGATGGGATGATGGGTTAACATAACTGTTGGGCTAATGTGCGCCACCTATTTGACTACATCTCTTCCACTACCCAAATATAGTTTAGTAGGACAGAGCCTCTGCTTTTGCAAATTGAATTTTACACCAAAAGGAAGTTGGTAAAAAATGCCAATGAAATAAATATTTCATTTTCTTATGGTTTTATTGCTCAAAAAAGGGCAGTAAATATTTGATAGGAAACACTTGGATTTCCAAGTGTTTCTCACCAAAACCAAGTAGATCCAATGTAACTGCTGTCCACAGCAGAAAAACAGCCAAAAACAGTAGGAAAGCAGGGAAAAACTGCAGAAAAATCAGAGAAAAGACTGTATTTTACTAGTAGTTGCAAGGAAAATAGCAAAGATACAATTGATCCTCAATTCGACAGGAGGATCGATCTCTCCCAAATCTCTAGACGCCGCTAGAGCCCAAAGAAAACCTAAATCTACGAGATCTCAAATTTCAGCCAAATTCAAGATGCTCAACCCCTGGGAAAATCTACTATTTAAAGCATACAATTCAAAAGGAATTCCCTAAAAAATCCCTACAATCAATTTCCCTCCTAAAATCCATTCAAAAACCTTCCTATTCGGGCGTGCGGCTGAATCGGCGGCGTGCGTGCGGAAATGAGAGGCGGAGCTTCAGCCTCGTTATGGCTGGGCCGGTCCTGTGCGGACCGGCTGGACCGGTCCAGTGGACCGGTCTAACAATATTTTTATTCTAATTTACCTCCTTTAATCATTGTTAAATGCCTTTTTTTAAATGACTATTTGCTTGGAAGTTCATTATTGCTACCATCTTTGGTGTTGTTTTCCTGAGTAATTGCAGGCGCATCTTATACTTTCTGAACTCTTTCTTTTCTTTTATCAAATCAGAACAACGCAGATTTGATGTTTGGGGGAATAACAATTGTATGCGGAATCTTTGGAACTTTAGCTGGTGGTTTCATTCTTGACCGGATACAGTCTACAATCTCTAATGCTTTTAAGGTAGCTACTTCTACATTCTAGATGATAGTACGTGAAAGGTTTTCTTTTTAAAATGCACTCAACTCAGTTGACAATTTTATGAAATAATGGCATATTAAGGTTAACTGTTGGCTGAGTTGCTCATCTTTATCAATATTTGTATAATATATAGGTAATGAATGACTGAGGAAGTACTACTCTCTGGCTTTTAAATCAAATAACCTAGAGAAGGTTCCATTGCTGACATAGCAATAATATGCAGCTGGTGGATCACATAGTATACACCAAATGGATCACTCTTTGTGCAATTAAGCATGAAAATTGATAGATGAGTTCACCCTTTGAATTTACCAAATTAATCAATCTTTTCAAGCTGATTTTTAGTTTTATGAGCAGTACCTTTATTAAGCCAGAACTGGTAGCTGCTGCTGCATATTGTATAAGAGAACGGTGTGCCTTTATTAATCACTGTTGTATTAATCAGCCATGAAGATCGTTTTGTCCCCATTTTCATGTTTTATATGCAGTCTCTATTAGTATGATACAGTTTGGTACAGAAAATGAGTGCGTGGGGTTCTCTTACAAGTTAAGATTTAAGTTGTGATTTATACTGCATTGCTGATCAGTTAACAATTTCTTTGTCAGTCTATTACTTACACAGTATTTCCCTTTTACTGGTGGCAATAACACTCAAGCAAGCAGACTTTATTTTAGCTTTTTGAGCCTTTATACTTTTTTTTTTAAATTATTTTATTAGTTTTGAAGCTAGTTCAAAACAAGTGATACTACTAATATGATCAATGTACAATTTTCATTGTTTCTACTGATGTTATTAATTTGCATAAATATTTTATTTTCCATCTACTAATCAGAGCTAGACTTCTTTTGGCAGATTCTCTCTGGTGCATCTTTTCTAGGTGCAATCTTTTGTTTTGGTGCCTTTTGTTTCAAAAGTTTGTACGGATTTATAACTCTTTTTGCTGTTGGAGAGCTTCTTGTCTTTGCTACACAGGTATCGGCCAAAATGTGGATTATTCTTTTTATGCATCATTTGATGCAAGTTTGTGTGGAGTCTGTTTATAGATCATTTGAAACGAAAGTGTACTTACTGTATTGGGCCATAGTTAATATGCGGATTATTCTTTTGTCCATTTGATGCAAGTAGCAAGTCTAAATATTCAGGAGCATCGCCGTTGCACTAGATTTGAGTATCATATAAGTAAATGTATGGATTTAGATATTAGATATATTAATATATAAGAATTTTATGATTTGTTTGTAAATCTCCCTTTTAAAAAAATATAAATCAAACTTGGTTCGAATTGAAATTGAAATCTACAATGAGTTTAGGCTGTTTTGTGCAAACATCACGGCTAATCTAAATTCATGTAGTAGCTCTCCCGTTATTTCCCAAGTTTGTTGACGTTCATAATTTGCTTATTAACTTTTTGATGAACTTTGAAGTTTCTATATTTTTTAAAGAAAGAAAATATCACATTAAATAAAGGCGTTGAGCCATCAATTACCTTGCATCTCGTCATTGTGTTTATACGCGATGGTTTCTTCTTCAAGCTATCCTAATATGAAGGTTACTTCAGCCTGTTACTGGGCCGGCATAGGGTATTCACATTCTCTTGAGGTTGAGATAATAAGTTGCGGGCATGCTTTTTTAGTACAGGATCTTTGTGTATAAGATTCTACAGCCAACTAATTACATGGTCCATTTACATATAGTCCTTGGTTCTTCTTTCAATGACAGTGCTAAATTAGCTTTAAGATACACCAATTATGCGCAGAGTACTGATCCTATTTGATTTGAGCAATCTAATACGTTTAAAACTTTGTAATGGATTTTCTTGTTAGCCTTTGTTTATAATTATGTTCATACAGTTTGTAGCATCTGCAATAACTTTGACTTATCTTGCAGGCCCCTGTGAACTATGTTTGTCTTCATGCCGTTAATCCTAGCTTGAGGCCTCTGTCTATGGCCATGTCCACTGTTTCAATCCACATTTTTGGGGATGTCCCATCGTCACCCTTGGTTGGAGTCTTACAGGTCAGTTTATTTGATTTGTTGTTATAGTACTTTCTGCTTTGTGGGCATGTAGATCTGTCTGCGTTAGTAATATTAAGGTTTCGTTTGGAACGATTTTTTTACAGCTTCTTAAAGCAGCATTTTTTTTACAATTTTTTTTATTTTTGTTTTAAAAAGCTACTATAAGAAGCGGTAAAAAAACCGTCCCAAACGAAGCCTTAATTTGAAAAGAAAATGTTGTATGTTTCCCAAGTAAATATTGGTAATTGATCAATAATTATTTTTTAATTTTATGAGAACTGCTTTGATTTGAACAATCCTGCTAGGCTGCAACTAGGTTGAATGGTTCAGCTAATTCATGACAGTATGGGCAAAACATTTTATCCTTGCTATTTTATGAGTTTGAGAGCATGCTTGTTGGAAATTAAGACAAAACCAGGATGGCTTAAGTTTAATTCTGCTTAGTACATTTTCTTTGTAAGATAAAAATATTAAGCTCCACATTTAATACATTCTTTATTCTCAACTTCTTTGCATTCTAATGCTACGAGAACATGTTCTCCTCTGAATCATTTTGTTAATTAGATGAATTTGAAAACCACAATCTTGTTTAATCTCCTAATGGAAATGTTGTGTTGATGGTGCAGGATCATATCAACAACTGGCGATTCAGTGCGCTTATATTGACATCTATTCTATTCATTGCGTCTGCCATATGGTTTGCAGGTATGTTTTCGCAACTTATTTATGATTCCTTTTATTCAATATCAATCCCACCAATCTGTTTCCATAACCGTTTAACATCTACAAGTTTTCCTAAAAATAAAAAAAAAATAAAAAAAAAAAAAATCTACAAGTTTTCCTTCCTAAATCTTTTAACACATCCTCTTCCCCTTCACAAATTACCCCCTTCGCTACGAGAAATTATTCTGTGCGGATACAAAATGCCATCCGGAGATCAAGCAGAATGCGCTACGTCAGCGGTGCCAATCCGCAGTACCGAGCACAGGGTGACGTCGCCCATTCTGGTTGGTCTCCAGACGGCATTCGGCTCTGCATAGACTTTGATATTATAACGTATTGTTGCATCACTTCTGCCTCATCATAATGCCACCATCCTACTCATATGCAGGTGTTTTCCTTCATGCTGTTGATCGGTTTGATGAAGACAGTGAACACGGCGTTCCTCCAATTCAGAGATCAAACCATACGCCATTGCTGGACAATAATGCGGAGGCACCGCAGGAATCTGCCTAAGGCGACTGGCCATGACCGGTGAATTGTTATTTTACTGCTTAAAGTAACTGTTCAAAGTTCAAATTCATCAATTTTATTTCAGGAGCTTGATGATTTCTTTGTATATAACACTGGTACTTGGAAGTCTTTACTTTCGCTTGCAACAACTTGAAAGGTAATTGTAGATAGATACTTTAATTGAAACATCAATTGTTCACGTTCTGTTTCAGAGTTAAGCAGTCGATTGATCGTAAATTATTTTATTCATTTAGTAGCTGTTAGGCTGGAGTACAAAAGTGGTGTAAAGTATTTAAATATAAGGGTTTTGAAAATTTTAGTATTTCTTTGAAATATAAAATAGAGCAAAATAAAATAAAATAAATGTAGTGTAAACAATTTTAGTTCATTTTTTAAGTAAATTAAACTTGTTCAATTTTGAGGGAGAACCGTTTACACTATAGTCAAGCTCGTTTGATAGCCGCATATCACCGCTGCCCACCGTCGGCAACCTATGCCGCTAGCACCGTTGGCGGCCTCCCCTACCCTCTACCAGCCATCATCATCGCTAGGCGGCCACCCGTTGATACAGTTGGCCAACATTATCGTTAACTGTCGTTGCCACACATCATTGGCCCACTGTCATCTTTTTTAACCGGCTATCACATTACATTTATTGTTTCAAACAGCAACAACAACATCAAGCCTTTATCCTATTATGTGGGGTTGGCTACATTAATCCTTTTTTCTCTGTTGTGTCATGTTAAGAATCAAATTCTTATTTAAATTTAATAAGGAAAGGTCATTTCTAATATTTTCTAATAAAGTTTTCTTAGGTATACATCTATCTTTTTTAATGGAAGTCAAATCTAATATATTTACTCTTCAAAATGGGATATTTGGAAAGCCGCTTTTTTATGTGGTCAAATCATCTAAGGCGACTCTTACTAATCTTGTCGAGCACTTGAGCTACACCCAACTTTTTCACGTATATGCTCTTTTGATATCCTATCTCTAAGAGTAAAGCTACTCATCCATCTAAGCATTCTCATTTTTGCAACACTTAACTTAATATACATTTATTACTTCAAAAAAAAAAAAGTCATTTAGGTGCATTTACTTTATTTTCATCCAAATAACTCTAAAATTCCTTTTTTTTTTTACCAACCAAACAACCCCTTAATTACTAATCAATCAAGTCAAATATAAATCATGAATTTCTATTTATAAAATTAGAGTTTTAAGGATAAAAATTAAAATTCAGATCTTATTTAATTATATTTTGGGACCAAGCTAAATTTATCCTTTCTTAACAAAATAAATCAAAGAAAAATAATAATAAATTCATATATACTTAGGCATTGATAATTAATAGTATCTTTCAAAATATTTTCATAAGAACCATAAACATTTAAAAAGAAATCTCTCTTATTACTGTTAGTAGTAATTAATCATACAAATTTGGACTTCTAAGAAAATAAAATCATATCATAAATGTATTACAAAATGAGGATGAAATCAGAGTTTTATTCTCAATCTAATTGTCTTCTGGATCACAAAAAAAAAAAAGTCTTCTGGATCACAAAAGGTCTCCAAGAGTTCTACGTCCAAACTCCAATATAATGTCGCCACATGGCAGCTAAGCGACCCGACGACCTGACCCAATGAAATTATAATATTTTTTACGTGTTTTCCAACTTAACGAGCGACCGACGACTCGACTTGATCCACAAAAAAATTAAATTTTACTAAAATGAAATACAAGAAATAATAAAAAATCCTCCTAAATAAAACCTTAAACTTCAATTCTTGGACTATATCTTCCGATTGCCTTAGACAACTTACATACACTTTCACCTTTGATTTAAGTCCTGCCAATTGCCCTCATTTCAATCTCATAATATTTAACGTTTCATAAACCATTAATTTTGAAATTAATAATAAAAAAAAAATCAAAATTTGATCAAATTTAACACTTTTGAGATTTTAAATCTTCTAAAAAATTTCTAAATCCATGCTGCTTGTAACCTAAAAGCCCCTAAAACAGAGCATTATTGCGAGATTAAACGAAGGCATTCGTAGTGCCAATCTCAGGCTTGCAAAAAAAAAAAAAATGGCAAAAAAATCTGGGACGAGTATACCAGACAGAGAGAGGAAAAAAAATTAACCTTTAAAAAATCCTCAGTCAAGACCTTCTTGCTGTTCTTCTAATCTCTCCTGGTCCTGAGGCCTCATTGCCATAGAAATTTCACCGTTTCCTTGCCCAGCTAGACCAACTCCCCGCCTCTGCCTACCCTCTGAACCCCCGATCCTGAATCGTCTCGGTTCGACTGGCCATAGCAGTTCAATTTCAAATACCGCCGCCGTGGATCCCGGCGTTTGCTCCGCCGTATTCCGCTGTCCGGAACGCGACATTTGTATACCGGTAATCAATGGTAGGGGATTCAGGGCTCTCCTCTGCTCTTCGGAGTTGGGATCGTCAGTCTCGAGCTTGGAACGACAAACTGGACACGAGTTGCGCATTTCAAGCCAAGGTACAATGCAGGATTTATGATATACATGCTTACATGGCAACTGCTTCACCTCCTCCCCGATCTTGAAATCTTCTCTGCAGACAGGGCACTGTGCCCCGTCCGAATGAAGAAGATCCTCAGTCACAGTGACATCTGGCAGCGCGGCAATGGCCGCCAGAGGCGCAGCCTGCCGGGCCAAGAAATTGGAATAAATCTGTAGAAGTTGCACGATTTGACGCCGGATGTCGGTGGTGTTCATAATAGCGCCTTCGTTCAAGCAAATATCTATGTATCCACCGAGAAACTGGAAGGAAATTTCTGATCCGACAGTGGGCAAAGGGTTGAGAACGGGTACAGCGGTGGGGTACGGAGGACTGAAGAATCCAGTATCCGATATAATGTGTACGAAATCTTCACCGAAATGGCGGTATTCGAAGCTCGCGGAGCGAGAGATGGTGGCGCCGGTGGAGGGAGAAACGGCGAGAAACGACGTAACGGTGGGAATGGGATTGAGGGGCCGAGAGCTAGGAGCATAAGATGAGCTCGGATGGTCAGATTCTTCCATCGATCTTCTCCGGCAGTTGGGGCATACAGGAACGGTTCCGGTGGATGGATCCATTGGGATGGCGGTGGCGCAACGGTGGCAGAAGTACTGGTGCGTAGACGAATCATCGCCGCCGGCGGGAGGCTCGGCGGAGGACATCTCTTATTAGGATCAAGAAACCGATCGATGGAAGGAGCTTCTTGACGCACCAAAAGGATCGAGCACTGTAAAATATATGATGAGCTAATTGGACATTTTAAATTGAGCGGGAAGAATAATAATTAAAATTAAAATTAAAATTAATAAATGTAGATATAAAAATTAATTAGAAGCATAAAAGAAATTTAAAAGAAATGCATAAATTGAATATAAAAAAAAAAAACCGGCCTTTTGATATTTATTTTGCTAATTTGTAAAGTATTCTGTGTCAAAATTATTTTGCGAGGTAAAAATTCATAATAGCAAATGGATTTGATGTGTAATAAATTTATAAAAATAAGGTCAAATATGTAATAATTTTAGAAACTACGAGTAAGAAAACCTATGGGCAAAGCGTATAGGAAATATATATTTAATCTTGTAAGTTAGATTGAGAGTCTCGACGAAATGAATCCAATTGACCCAAGTTTGCTTAAATTTGACATCATTAAACCGCTTAAATATTAGATATATGATACAATACGGGCTATCTCATAGTGTTTTGGAAGAGAATCTTGGACAAGAGTTTGGAGAGACATCATATGATTGAAGAATTTCATAGCAGCACATGTGCACCGCCATTGGATCATGATCGTCTTGCCACCACCAATTGGAACAATTATTACGTCCTCCGACCGGACGCAGAGGAACGTCTGGTCGGAGGCCAAATCCCACCAAAAAATGAGTTGTACCAAGCAATACCAAACAATAACGAGGAATACCATCATTTGAAGACCCAAAACAGAGTTATACCGAGCTAAACCGAGAAATACCGAGTTATACAAAATTTGTACCGAGTTTTTTCTAGAAAAACTCGATACAACTCGGTATTTCTCGGTACAGCTCGGTATAACTCGGTATTGGTCTTCAAAGAGCGGTATTCCTCGTTAATATCAAATAATACCTAGTTGTACCAAGCAAATACCGAGTTTTTTGGCGGGATTTTGCCTCCAACCGGATGTTCCTATATGTCCTTACACCGGGCGTAATAAAAGTTCCACTAATTGGGCCACCTTCGTGGGAACACCTCCACTCTCAAACCATCATTACTCGAGCAACACCTTTGGACCTCAGCCATTCGATCTCAATCAGCAAATCATCGTCGTCAAACCAGTGTCGCCCAATCACCATCATCAGATCTTTGTCATCAAACCGCCGTCACACGACTTCTGTTGTTAAACAATTTCCAAAGTGATCATCTTCTAGTCACAACCATTTGAATGCCTCGCATCTCGTACCACCTTAGGGGCATCTTTCCACCACTCTCATACGAAGTCCAGTTAACAACTCATACTCCTGTAATCCTCACCTTAAATAATTATGTAGACGAGCAAAACTTTGTAACCAGTATATGCATTAGTGGATTTATTTCAATTAGGTTATACTATGATTTTTCCTTCTTCAAAATTTTCATGTAAAAATTTTAATGTGCATTCATTCATTTTATCCGTATATGTGCCGAGATCTTCATATAAAGTAATACGTTAAATGTTCTCTAGCAACCAATATTAATATTTGTTTGTTATATATAAAACTTGAACTAAAGAGGCTCTTTGTTCGAGTCGTGTTTGTAGTAAATGGGCAAATTATTGCATCCGATCATCAGACACGGAGGATAGGTTCGGACATCCAATAAAAACTTGCCACATCACCTGCGCTTTTGACTTGCACTTTTGGTGCGCTTTAGTTGCGCTTTGACTGTGCTTTACCTGCGCTTTTGACTTACGCTTTGACTTGCACTTTGACTGCGCTTTGCATGTGCTTTGACTGTACTTTTTCTACGCTTAATTTAAAATAATATTTTATTAATATCCGAACCTCTAACCGGATGCAATAATTTGTGGTAGCAAATGGGTTCAATTTGAGTTCTTTTTAATTTTACTCGAAAAAACTAGCCCAAAGAATTCGCCTTTATCGGCCGAGCGGATCGGATTGCCGGTTGTATAGATGCAAGGCGTCGGAGGAGAGCATGCGGCGTCGCAGCAGCGGCCTACGGAGAGCGGCGTCGAACCGCGACCTGCAAATCCATGGGAACTCAGTAAAATCCTTGCCCTTCCATTCTCATTTACAAAATCATTGTTATTGATTGCTAGCTTTCGTTATTCTCTATTCGGAGTTGCGTTCCTCCTGTCAAAGCCCTTTTTGGTGTCGGGCCATAGGATGGTAGGGAGGTTGAAACTTTCTTCTTAGGATGATATTAGTTTCAAAACACACGAAAAGGATGAAAGGATACTAAAGCCCTAAGCGATTATTGAATAATTGCAGGGAAACTTCAGTTGTTACTTATGTTCAACTAGCGGCTGATTCTTTTCAAGTACATACAAGTCTATATTTCTGCGTAGTAAATGCGGCGGAATTTGCTTCTACTTTGGAGCTTTTTCCTAAATAACTCAGGGATTTGATCCACTTGAATAGGTTTGTATCAAAACTAGTTTTAATAAAACCTATTTTGAACGAAAAAAACCCTAAAATAGGTTGTGAAATGACGGAGGAGCAAATCAATGGTATGGATGCTGGCGTTGATAAAGGTGATGGTGGTGCCAATGATTTTAATGAATTTGTGCGCATGATGACAACAAAGATAGGAGAAACTGACACTGAAGAGGAGCTTATGAAAGCATTCCACATTTTTGAACACGACATTAATGGAACAAATAATAGGCATTAGCTATATGTAATTACTGAGAATATAAACCTCCCAATGATGCTATAATGTCATTATAGCCTCTCTGAATATCAGAAATTAGACCTTTTATCTCTTGTATTTATTCTTAACTAAATGTTTCTTTATTGATAGCCTGAATTGCTTAAAAAAAAGTTATTTTATAGAGTAGATGTGATTATTTGTCAAACCAAACACTTGATAAGTAATTTTTTCTTTGTTTACTTTGAGGTCTTGGATCAATCATCTTAGTACCTTCCTTCTTGGCCTTGTTTGTTAGTCTTGGGCTTCTCATGATTCTCCAATGCATATGGAAAGAAGGAACACCTCAAACTCTATTTTAAATGTTCAACAATAATCATTATTCGTTATTTTTATTTTTCCTTGATTTTTTTCTCTCATTTTTATTATGCGAAGATGCTGAATCTTCATTATCAAACGTTCTGTAATTTATTACATCGGGGGGCTAACTTTCCTAGCATGAATATGAAGAAAATATGACTATCTGTTAGACCGGTTCTTTGTAAACCGGACCAGAACCAGCGGCAGAAACAGCCGCTGGTTTATAGGAGGCGGAGACTTCTGCTTCCTTTGGCTGGATTTGCTTAATGGGGGTGGGCCCCACTATTCCAATAGTTTTGAAATTTCAAATGGAGTGGGGAGATTAGGTTTTGGGAGAGAAATTAAAATAGGAAAGATCTTGTATTAAAGGGGATGAGGGAATTAGGGAGTTCTCATGTTTTGATTGATTGCAATTAGGGTTTTCTTGGAGGCTTGGGCTCTAGAATGAATTCTAGAGATTGGGAGAGTGCGATCCTCCTCTCGAATAGAGGATCTTTGTATCTTCGCAATTTTTCTTTCATCTACTAGTAAAGTACAAGTGTTTGGGTGAGTTTTTTTCCATTTTCCTCTCAGGTTTTCTCTGTTTTGGTCTATATTTTGCTGTTTTCCTGCTGTAAACAGCAGGAATTATTACGATTTGCTTCAGACTTTGGTTAGGAACTACTTGAAATCAGGTATTTCCTATCACTATCCTAGGGTGTGATGTTGATTATGAGTTGTTCAAAATTTAAAACCAGTGATTGTTATACTAAGGTCCTTCTAGTTTAAGAGAGAAACAAATATGCAAATACCAAAATATTTACACAAGTACACAATTTTTAGTGGTAAATTCTAATGACTTTATCCACTATAGTGCACGAAAAAAAATGTTATATTATGTCTTTGAATATAATTTTTGTACTGTTACATCAATAAGAGAGATTACAGTAATTTTTTCTTGAAAATTTGAGAAACTCTTAGGGAGTTGCAAGTAAATGGGGAAGATGAATAAAATCTTGGTTACATGTTCATGGCCATACACCTCTTGTATCTGGAGGTATTTTCTTGTATATGTTTTCCTAGTTTTGCACTCAAAACCTGATAAATGTAGGTTCAAAGGGCCATTTTTTAGGTCTCTCTCCTTGGTATACATAGTTATCTTATATATGTTATGTTTACAATAAATCTCAGGGCTTCTCTCTGGGCCCTCAAGTTTGCTTGGGCCCCATATCTCTCTCTGTACTCTACTGATTATCTGCCCAAACCTTGCCAAACCCTATGAATATGGCTTTGGTATCGCCTATCGGCAAAATTAGATCAAACAGTATTACTAATAAAGTTATGGCACTGTACTGTAGTTGACTTATAATTTATACTTTTTACAAATACTAGCATGTCTTTCATGTAGTTGACTTATAATTCTTTTTCAGTTTCCAGTGATGATGAGATAGACTACTCGATCAAGCCAGAATTTTATGATCCATTGCTTGATGAGAAGGACGAACAATGGATGAATAAACAAAGAAAAGGGCGGACTTCTGATGCTGTGCTTAGTTGCCCAGCTTGCTTCACTACCCTATGCTTTGATTGTCAAAGGTATTCTATTATTCTAAATCAAATTTTAGTAATATAAATTCTTTAACTATTTAGTATGCATCTTTCTTGATTAATCTGTCCTGTTGACCTAGAAATTCTTTATTAATAAACTTAGATATACATTCTTATGCCCGGCTTTTCATATGCTATCATCCCTTGCATTGTGAGGGCAGAGCTACATGTTCTGCTTTTGATCTTCAATTCGCATGTTGTTTTAGTATCACAATTAGCTTCATAAATTGTGAACTTATTGAAACATTTGGACTTCATGTATATATTTTCTATTCCTCCTTATTGCCATCACTAGGCTATATATTTGATTCGGATTAGTCCATGCTGTCTTCTGATACCTCAAGTATGACTGCCAATTTCTTGTAGATCCAACAACAACAACATAGACATCAAGCATTTGTCCCACTACGTGGGGTCGGCTACATGAATCCTTTTTCGCCATTGTGCCCTGTTAAAAGTCAAATTCTCATTTAAATCTAATAAAAAAATATGATTTCTAATATTTTCTAACCAAGTCTTTTTAGGTCTACCTCTATCTTTTTTAACATAAGTCAAATCTAATACCTCAACTTTCCTAGTTGGGTCATCATAAGGCCTCCGCTAAATGTGACCAAATCATCTAAGACGACTCGCTCTAATCTTATCTTCCACTGGAGCTACTCCAACCTTTTCACGTATATGCTCATTTCTTATACTATCTTTAAGGGTAAAGCCACTCATCTACCTAAGCATCCTCATCTCTGCAACGCTTAACTTGGTATTATGTTTTTTTTTAATGGCCAACATTCGGCACCATAAAGCATTGCAGGTCTCACCACCATCTTATAGAATTTTCCCTTAAGTTTGAGGGCGACTTTTCTATTGCACAACAAGCCCGATGCATTCCTCCACTTCAACCAACCAACTTGAATTCTTGTATATCCAAAAATAATATTTTATTCTTCTTGTGTAGAAGAGCATTTCCTTATGCATACCTTTTCTTTAAATTTTTATGCAATGTTGAACCAACAATTTGATTGTTGGTATAATCTGTATATCATAGTTTCTTCAGCGTAATGATAGTTTTATGACACATTTTGAAAATTACCTGTGAACATGCATGCGACTAGTGATTTGGTATAAATTGTTAATTTTTTTTCTTATTTAAATAATATTGCTTATACATTATTTAAGAATGTAGGACATCCATTTGCAGATAACAAAGCCAATGAATGATGTTTTTAGGGATAATATATAGGTCGACTGAAAAGGTGTATGTATTGATATTCTTTTTACAAATGAAATTAACGTCATTTTTTCAATCGAATCATGGATAACTTATTATTTGACGGAGTAAGGGAACAGTCATTTGACATTAGTTAGAGAGATCAATTAATAAGAAGCTATATTAGTTGCAATTAAAGTGACATCATAGTAAGGATAAAATTGCTTGAATTGCAAAAGTTTCATTTGTATTTTATGCTTTATAATATGTTGTTTTCCTCAACTATTTGTTGTAATAATATAAAAGAAGGAATATTTAAACTTTCAACGTTTATTAAACAAAGTACGATATTAAAAAATAAGCTGTATATATACACATATATATAAATAAGCTGTATATATATATATATATATATATATTGAAATACAAATTGAAAAGTTGAATTGATTTGATTTGTTAATTTTCCTGCATGGTGAATCTTTGAATTTCATGCTATTATGTCCAATTAGTTTAGATATTTGAGTCATGTTGGGTGAAAATTTGAAGTTGGATTGGTGTGCCTAAAAGGCCTATATAAGATATTACATGGTCAATTTCGTCAAACAATGCTAGCTTTGAATGACATTATTTTTACTTCACAAAAAAAAAGCAACTTATTAAGGACCGACTTTTCTTTCTGTTGTAACCCAAATCTATTTTTTTGTCCTTATGAGTCTAAATTCAAAATATTTATCATCATTATTTGCATCGTCATGATCATTGTTATGTCAACCTCATCCCAATTGTTAGAAGGGAGAGAGAATGGTAAAAGATTGCATCTTTACTTAATTATTGTACTAATACAAGCAAATATGTGCCAATATATGGACAATATAAGAGAACATTAAAGAAAAACTCTATAAAGAAAAATATCTTTAAACTAAGAATTTATCATAATAAGAAATAATGATGATTCCCATCATAAATAAGTTGTCATAATTGGTTTCATGCTCCTACAAACCTAAGTTAGCATTGAAGATGTTAACTTGATTTTTGAGTCGGTAGTGATCAACGATGAAATAGTTGCCTTTTTTGTTGCTAAGAAATTGTGAGTGTCATAAGAGAAGCACAACTGATCCATTAAAGTTAGAATACTATGGATCGGATGATAAAAGTTAGCAATGAGATTCATGTATGAGAAGATGTGAATAAGTTAGTTGAAGGATTTATGAATAAAGATTATTGAGGGAGTGTATTGTTGGAAAGCATTGGCGAAGAGTCTGAGCGCTGATGGAGAGTAACGGAGGAGCATTGATATGGAGTAGCAATAGAGACCGTCAGTGGTGAGTGCAAACATATAGTTAGGGGTGTCAATATTTGAAATTACCTGAAAAACTCGACTCGAACTTGACCCAAAAATTTTGAGATTGGGTTAGCTCGTTTGCAAAATGGGTATGTTTCGGGTTTCAAATTTTGACCCGATTGCAAAATCGGGTCAGGTTCAAGTCGACCCAAAACCCCGAAAGCTACATGCACTTGTCCTCCGTCGCGCTCGCCCACCTCTCTGCTCATCGCTCGCTTGCTTGCCCTCCCGCGTACCCTCGCCCGCTAGCCTGAACGTGCTCGCTTGCCCCCTGGCCTCGATCGACCGCCTACGCTCTATCACCCATGCTTGCTCACTCTGGCTAGCTAACTAGGTTAGCGGGTTGAGTAGGTCAAATCGGGTTAGAGGTGGGTCGGGTCAATGAAGTCAAGTTTGTTTTGTGTTGGACCCAAACCCAACCTAAAAATCCGTTTTGATGCCCCTACATATAATAGTGATAGAGAGCATTGACGGAGAATAATGAGAGAAAAATGGGTTAGAGAGATGGAGTCCGACATGAGAACTAGCACAAGATGCTCATGGAAACAATAATTGTCGTGTCAAAGAGGTGGCAACCAAGAATGGCGAGCTAGATGATGCCATGTAAATTATGTAAGGGCTAGAGGTCAAGGTAGGCATACTTCTAAGAAGAATATATTGATGGATTATAACTGTGAAACTTGAGGATGAGGCTGACTGCACCTGGAAGGAGCGGTTGGGACCCGAGTCGCAAGTGAAGAATTGGTTGACCTAGCAATCTCATGAATGCTGCAAACAAGGGTGAAATAGTAGACGCAACTTGGGTTTGTGGATGCTTTTGATGAGAGCCACAATCGAGCCAGAAATGTGGGGAATTATGAACCAAGCTACATGTTTATATTTGTTTTTCATTCATTTTCTTAATATAGAAATCATGTTCGTCTTATGGTTTCTCATTCAGCTATAAATTCAATATAATTTTCTAATATGATGTGAATTCGAGGCATAAACTGCAATTCTAATTATGGCATAACATCTATATAATCTTCTTTTATCATTCTGCCACTGCCCTCATAACATTTTTGTATAAATTTTGCTTGTGGATGATTACAAATGTAGATGCCCCATTCATTCTTAACAATTAGTTCCAAGATGATGGTTCTTTAATCATTCAACCTCCTTTTTAATCACTTGGATTTTGTTAAAAATTTATTACTCGTGTCATTGTTTTTTCATGGTTGTTGAAATCTCAAAGACTTGGGCTTCGTTTGGGACAACTTTTTAGCTGCTTTCTAAAATGATTTTCTAGTACAAAAATTTCTTGAATTTAAACATTTACCTTCAATTTTTTTTTTTCAAAATGAGCTCAACTTCATTTATTTGATTTAATCTATGACATACTTCATAATTATACTCATCTTACCCTTTTATGAAAATTTTATTTTTGAAATTAAATTTAATAATATTTCATTTTTTTGTTCATAACTACTTTATAAATGATAGCAAAATTGTAACTTGAACTCTTCTTACTACTACCTTTTACAGTTGTTATAGTTTGTGATAGAACTTTGCTTGGATACTGCAGGCATGAGAAATATGTCACGCAGTTCAGGGCCATGTTTGTTGTGAATTGCAGTGTCAGAACTGATCAAATTTTAAGAGAGCCAAGCAAGAGGAAAAGAAAATCCAAGAAGCTTATAGATTCTGGAAAAATTCAGCAAGATCTTCATAACGATGTGATATTTCGACCTGTTTGCTGCTCAGTTTGCTCGACTGAAGTTGGTGCCTTTGACAAAGATGAGGTTTATCACTTCATTAATGTTATTCCAAGCAATTCCTAAGCTGCTTCTGGTAAACACTTCAAATACTTCTGTGCGTTATGCTTTGATTTATATAGATTTATCTGCTTTATAAACGGTATTACGATGTTTTCAGTGACTTTAGATTTCTTTTGGAATAGTTTTCTTAATGCTTTCTAAAGCAGTTTTTCAGTGCTAAAAAACTGCTTGTCCCAAATAAAACTTTAGTTAGCATAGCAGAACTGTAGGATTGCTGGGTAAGAATAGTAATGTGTACCAAAAATATATTCTAAATGATAACTAAGATAGTTGCTATGTTATAATTTTTTTGGGGGAAAAGCTATGTTATAATTTAATTAATATAGTATAAAAATGGAATAAACTTTCAATATATTAAAATTAAATTACATAATGAATTTAAAAATCATTAAAGTAAATTTTTTTATTTATCATTAACAAAGTTTCAGATAGGGTTTATCTAGGGGTGTCAGTATTTGACGCGAGCCGAATAATCGAATCGAACTCGAACCGAAAATTTCAACCCGTTTGTGAAAAGGGTCTGGTTTAGGTTCAACAAACTGAACCGTTTAAAAAATCGGGTCAAGTTCGGGTTGATTCGGAAACCCGGGAATTACCCAAAATGACTCGTAATTACCACACTGACCGCATTTGCCCGCGTCGCGCCGAGTCATGTCTGCTCGCGTTGAGTGCCCCCGTTGACCGCTCTGTCCGCATCACATCTGACCGCATCGTCGCTGCCAGCAATGCCTGTACTAGAACATGTAAACATTTCGGGTTAAGGTCAACTCATTTGTAAAACGGGTCGGGTTCTGGTTGACCTGGAAACATAAGAATGACTCGCAATAACCGCGCTGACCATTCTGCTTGCATCTGCCAGTGCTGATCGTGTCGTGTCAAGTCATGTTCGTCCGTGTTGAGTGTTCCCGCTGATTGCTTTGCCCCGTGACGGCATCGTTGCTATCGGTGATGCCGGAACAAGAACGTGTAAACAAGTGGGGTCGGGTCAACCTGGTAACTCATGTGGGTCGGCTCTAGATTAGCAATCATGACCCATTTGTAAAACCGAGTCAGCTAGGGTCAACCTTTTTAAACTTGGGTCAATCCGGATTCGACCCGAACCCAATCCGCAGAATCATTTTGACACA